GACAAACTAAATATACAACGTTATTGGACGATGGATGGATCTTACACCTATTCTACTAATAAATAGAAGGAGTTATTGATCAGTTTAAATTTATGTGTTGTATATTGTAACACATATCAACAGAAATACTTGGAGGATTACTGGTACATCAATTATAAACAGGAATATTTGAAGTAAAGGATAAAACAGAAAATAGGAAGATAAGGAATTAGATTACTGGTCAATATCTGCCAGAAATGGGTACTAATTTAGTTAAACACTTGAAATAATCTTTATTAATCATTTCTATAATGAAGAATTTATTCTGGTCAGAAACAAGATTGATTTTAAGCAGTATGTGTTATTCTAACCCTGAATTTTTAACAGTGAACCTTAATAGCCACTGTTAGCCGACATTTAACCTGTTATCTGTGCTCAATAGCCCAAATGTAATGTCTACTTTTAGACATATTTTCCAAATAAGGAAGGTTTTTCAAACCATGAAATAAACAATTTTTATAGCCTTAAGAAGGTTTAATTCACAACGTCTTGTAAATCAAACAAAAAAAAAAAAAATAATGTATAAGTAATTAAAAGAAAAGTATGTAAGGAGGGATAAGTAATTAAAAGAAAAGATATGACTGGTTCCTCAGTAAAAAAATAAAAAGCAGAATAAATCATAATACAGAACTTAATGTTTAGAACAAAACAGAGATAAGGAACTATGACAAGGTTGTCTTGCAATCATCATGAAATGTTGTTTATACTTAAATACACCATGCCATACAATAAACCTAACAATTTATGCCGTGGTGTACAGCAGTGCCTCGAAACCTAACAAATTTATTTCAGCAATTGGCTTCTAACGGCTCCTATGCCATCTTTTTATATGCAAAAGTATCATCATTTGGACGCATTCAGAATGATTGTATGGGGAAGCCTTAGTTAATGGATATATTCAACCTTGTGCTAAGACAGACAAAACAGTTAATGACTGCTAATATGTATGCAAGACAATCATAGAGTACAAGATTTGCGTATAAATCTGCAATCTTAAATATTATTATTATTTTGGCTCTCGGACACATCATTGAATGTAAGATTTGACATAAAGCAGATTCTAAAAGCGATTAAGGACGCCAATCCACAACCAGTAAAAACATAAATGACTAGGAAACAGAGCATATTGGAATAGCTGTCGACAAACTCAGTGCCGATTTTAGAGCTACTAGCGCTCCCTCTACCAGCTTTGAGGGCTGGGAGGGGGGTAACAGGCTTAACTGTGTAACTTGCAGGCCTGTGGCCCTGTGGCGATTTTGTCAGTCCAGCGCGCCGAGCTGTCGCCCAACAGCGCTGTACACAAACGCCATTCCTGAACACACTCAATGAAAATATATAGTGTGTGTTACAGCTCGTTGAATACAGTATTCTGCTTGCTCTGAAAAAAGAATTTATGGCCTGATGAAAAACACTGATGAATAACTAATATTTTATTGATATTCTGATGATTCTTTAGACAACAGAGAGTACATCTGTTTTATAACAACTTTCAGATCCAACACTAAAGTTTCATGTTCATATCCAGCGAAAATTACGTGAAAACTTTCATTTTATATTACAGTAGAAGCATCTGTCCCCTTTGTGTTTTTTTTTTTGCATAATCTAAACTAACTGAAACGAATCACTTATATTAAAAGGCTTTTGCCTTTTAAAGTAGTTCCGATTATAACTTTAATTTGATTAAAATCAATTAGATAAGGTCTAATTAGACTTTTCTGTTTATTTGTATTTGGATCAAAGTGTATTTGTATTTGGATAATATGAATTAGAATCGAACCGTATTTTATATTAGGTTCTAATCGCAGTATAACATTGTTAAAAATGTATTATGTTAATAGGTTTTTTTAGATTGACTTTATTATCACTGGATGATACAAGAATATAGCCGCATTATATAACCATTGGTTCTACGTAAAGCGACGAACATTTTAGACAACTATTTAGCAGGTGGGATTCGTCTAAGACTCCATTCATTGATCAAGACAGACACGAAAGAAAACCTTATAAAGAGTGTTTTAATTAACAAGACCCCAGCTTTATTGATAGAATCAACAAGCTTATGTCCAGCCTGAATGGTTAAGTTCTAGATTATGTTCACATTATTTACCTAACATAGTAATGGTGGTGAGTGCCTGTCAGATTCAATACTCTTTTGTTCTGTCCCTAAAAATATTAATGTCATATATTATACAATCA